AGCAACTGTACCACAGATGGAAGTAATGATTAGCTCTCTTGATGAAATATACAAGATAGTATAATACAGAGGCCCTGCCCTAGAGGAAGTGACCTGAATATTTCCAGACAAGACTAGCTTAAAGAAAGACAGACTTGGACGAATTTGATGGCTTTTAGTAAACCTAGTAAAATCGTACAAGAAATATAGATGTCCCTGTTCTCTTTTTCACATTCCAGAAAGAAGAACTAGTCACTTCTGTACCTATGTACTCTAAACAACACTCTATACCCATGGCTGATTAGAAGAAAAAAAAAACATGAAAATTTTCTAGCTAGTAACAAGTATATTCTCCTTTAATAGAAAAGATTTTAAGCATGCCAAGCATGACCAGAAATCTTTATTGAATGATCTGCTATTGCACAAGACAATATTAAAGAGGAGGGAAGTTTACATTGGTTTTTTATCTTACTCTGCTACAAAGACCTATTTATCATTTTATTAATCCAGTGGCTAATACAAACATAATGACAGACACATTAAATATACGTTAAATTAAATTAATTCCTATCACCACACTTCTAATCTGTTATATATTATTCCCTCTTATTCCCCAACATATAATCAGTTACTAAATTCTAGTTAGTCTACCTTTGCCAAGTCTTTCCTCTTGTTCATAGTTCTACCCCTTCCATTCTAGTTCAAAAATTTCACTACTATTTCCATTAACACAATAACCTCATAGCTGGTATTCCCCACCTTTAGTATCTCCCCTACTACAATCCATCCTCCACACTACCATTAGTTATTTTTCAATGCACAAATTTGATAATGTCACTCATGTCCTCAAAAACCTTCAATACCTCCCAATTATAAGACATAACTGAACACTTAACTGGCTTTAAAAGTTCCATAAATCTGGGTGTCGTCTTTACATTTCTTACCTCATTTTGCACCATATCCCCACTTCTACGCCACAAATTTGTATTCTCACAATATCACATATATGAACAATATTACACATATTTCCTTCTTCCAAGAACACCTCTATGCTTTTGCTTATATTGTTTCCCATTTACCTGAAATATGTTCCTTCAATCTCTGTCAAAATATTACTACTCCATAATGCCCTCAAATTCCATTTCCTTCACAAGGCTTTAACAGATTCATTCTAAACTACTCCCATCATTCTAACCCAATTATTGATGGTTTTGTGTCTTTATGATAATAATTTATACACAATCCTGCCTAGCTCACCTGAATTTAAACCTGTAGGAGTAGGGTGGGATTTTGTGATGTAATGATATATTGTAATGTAATTTTAATATGGCATTTCACATTATAACTCTGTGTACTGCATTGCCTATATTCAATAAATACAATGAATTAAATGATTCCTACTATAACAAGAGTTCCAAATAGAAATTCAAAAAAAAAGAATCAATAAAACACTTTATTGCCCAGTTATAATAATGAAATTGTTTATCCATATTCCTCAAAGTTTTCCTAAATATAACCTCATATTTTATTCCTGAATCACCCTATTTGTGATTACAAATGTGCAGAATAGGAGCTCCAATATATTTAGATGAAGTGGTCATATTTATGAAGAAGGTCTTTAAAAAAAAACTTTCCATTAGTGAGGGATCCTGGGGATATCTAAATCCCAAGGATTTTAATATAAGTGAAAAAAATTCATAGTTTAGTGGGGAAAGACAAAGACCTATTGTTAATGGAGACCTACAATGTGCAAAACACCTTGCTAAGTGTATAAAAACTTACACTGCATTCCCTTTACTTAAAACTTTTGAAGATATTTTTCTCCCATTTACAGATAAAGAAACTGAAGTTCAGAGAGCTATACACTGGATCCCACAGCTAGTATGGGAGTGAGTTTGGAACAGATTTATCTGACTCCAAAGAACATGTTCTCTGCTCTATTACTACCAGATCACATAAAATTAAACTTTCAGTTTTTTTTCCCCAATCTGCAAAAGAGTTGCTATCCTAGTTAAATTTTTAAAGTTTGTAACTTTAATCTCAAATTGTATTATCGGTGACATAATATCACTATTAAAACTAACTTCCTTAAACAAAAGCAGTATTGTTAAAGAAATAATATAAAATCAGCAGTTTAATATTATATGATATGCAATTTTAAAACCCTACAATCAACTACTCTTTAAAGAAACAGGCACTCCTTCACCAAAAAATTTTTAAAAAATAAGTACATAAACTCTAATGCTCATGAAACTAATTTGTATAAAGTTCACATTACTCAAATAGTCTGTACTTCATAAACAGCCCACTAATGACATATACTCACCCCATCTCAAGTAATACCTCTTCAGTGATCCTGACAGAATCCAGGCAAAAGCTAAAACTAGCTTCCTGAGTCAGGGGGGTAACCTTTGAAGTTCCTATTCCCAGTAGACCTAATTGAGATAGTACCTTAGCTCTGAAAACCAGAGTTCTCACTTAATCTATGTCCCCTCTTCCAAGAACTCTCTTCTCAGAAAGCATGAAGCCCATATTTCCCTTTCTCAAACCCATTGCCATCTTTCACTGGAACCAAAGTACTTCTTATTTAAAACCTTGACACATTTTACCAAAGGATAAATTTTCAAACAGTGGTTAGGCTTTTCATCATTATGCCTGCTTCTTCTATTATGCCCTGATTTAAAAATGTAACTATTCATAATAAGTTTTTCTTGTGCAAAAACATGTTAAGAGTCTCAAACAGCAAATATACAAACTTCTGAATGGCAAGTCAATGGTTAACAATTGCCCATACAAGTAAGATAGGTAAAAGATAATACTGAAAGAGATACCAAAATATATTGTAGTGTCTATAATATTTAATCTTACCAGGATTCAACACACACAGAGAAAGTGACAGAAATTATTTCCTTTGACATTAAATTTAACCTATTTTTACCTACATTTTCTTTCAGAATTCTACCACATTTAAAATATGCATATTATATAATAAAAGCACCTTAGTCCTAAAAACTAATAGTTATAGGTTGTAAAGTTCATACTTGAAGCAAGCATTTCTAAAGCCAACATCAACATGAAATTAAATATATATTCTAGGAAGTAAAATTATTTCCTTCTTATCAACAGAATATCATTAAAAGCAAAAAGTCTTCTAAGTACTAAGTGTATCTGTTCAAATGTAGCATTAAATTTTCACCTATTTTAATTAAGTCACCAACAAGGCTAAATTTAACCAATCTTAATTGTTTTAGACAAAGAAGGCAGAAATACTACCTTCACCACATTACCTTCACCTTTCGTTTTACTTCATAGGGATTAACAATTTCCACTTGAGTATTTTTCCAAATTGCTGAGGTAGAGAGACCCATTGTTAAATCTCTACAATACCTAAAACATACTGCAAACAATAAAAAAAACCATATGTGGTAATTACAATTTAAAACATACTACATTCAAAATTAGCTAAAATAATAAATAGTACACATGCAAATGGCTCCCCACCTCCCATCCCATCCTTATATTATAGCATTTAACTTGTTATCAACAAAATATCTGTGACTATATCAATAGACTACACACATGAAATAAAACAAATAGTTTTATGTACTCTTGAATAGTCTAGAAATTAAGCCCCTCTTTGTTTAGTACATACTAGTCATAAGAGATGAAGAATGTTAAACCATATGTTGGTACAGCCTAGTTCACTAGTAAAATATTTCCTAAAAAATATAAAGGGTTCAACTTCAGGGTACTTCTGATTTTATTTCCACCATATTTCTTGTTGCATGTTATTCTAATATGTAATCTAACTCGTTTAGTTGCAAAAAAAATTAAGGAAAGCAAAACAGAAGAAGATAACCATAAGAAAATCATACAACTGTCCAAAGTGTTTTTTTAAAGATGGAGTAAGTACTTGAAGACAAAGTTGCACCCTTGAGATGTACAGGAGTGCAAGTTTTCCTTAAAATAGCCTACTAGTAATCAATTCGGCATTTGTCAACTATTTTTAGGAGGTGTATAGTGACTTCTTCCAGAGTAATATGCTGTTGATTATTTACCAGAAAAGGATCTGATGTTCTGTTATGATAGACCTGTTTTTTTATATTTAAAAGTTGCCCGCTTTTTATAACAACAAAGTACTTGTGCACATCTAATTTCTCACGGCACTGCTGACCAAAGCCCAAACAGAACAGTTTCAGAAGAGAAGCGGGAAGAGAGGCGAACCAAAATTTTGGTTGAACCTCCTTAAGTCTTACTAAAGATTCGTCTTATAAAGGCTAGCTAGGGTTCACTTTAAGTCTTCCTTTAAAGACCAACGGGGCGGGGACTGAGAATGGGGAAAAGCAAAGGAGAGAAGGAAAAGGGCAGCAAAATAAGGGGACGTGAGAAGAGGCAGCAGAACTTCACCTGAATGTAGATAAACCCGGCCAACTGTTCATCTCTACTTGAGGTGAAAAAATAATAACAAGCCACAAAAAAAAAAAAAAAAAACGAGAAAGCTAAGTTATGAAGAAACTCTCGTCCCTCTGCAGAAATGTCCCCAGGGTAACTTCGTCACCTTGGTGTTTTTGTTGTACTGGGTTCTAAAGCTCCCAGGGTTTAAAAGCGAGTCGTATGCAGTCCGCAGAGGTCCCCTGAAGTCTTCCCAGCAAGCAAACCCAGCTCATAGGAGAAAGAGGGACGCGCCAAGTCAGGCACGGCACCCCCGGCGTCCCCCAGTCTTACTTCGGGTTGGAAAGTGGAGAAACTTAGTCACAACAACTCCAGTATAGCCAATGAGACAGGCGTTTCCGAGGCCCAGCTGGGGCTGCACTCTACACAGAAGCCCGCCGCCTCATCCCCACCCGCTCCCCAGGGAAGGCACAACTGGGACAACGCGTGCTCCACCGCCCTGCAGCCTCAAAGGGGCTTGCCTGGGAGCCCCGCTCTCTTCCCCCACGCCCTTTCTCTCTTGGCCCCCAACTAGGGTCCTGTAGCAACAAGGGTAGTTGGCTCCAGGCTATCTTGGCCACCACACTAACCTCGCCACTGTTCGTGCCGCCGCCGCCACCACCGAACACCTCCATGTCTTGGTCCCAGGGCTCTTCCTGAGGAGGGATTGGTAGCATCGCGCTTTCAGGAGCACTCGAACAGGAGCTGCGGACCGCCAGCGCGGCAGTGCATCCTGTCTATTGAACTGGCCCGCTGCTGCCACCGCCGTCTCGGCTGTGACCCCCAGCCCCGCCTTCAGCAACCGCTGCCCTCGCCGCGGGGTCCCTCAGAGGCTGGGACCCAGGGGTCTCCGCCGCACACTGCTGCTCCCATAGAGAAGACAACTCTGTGCTGTCTCTCCAAGAGCTGCCGCTTGGCTCTTGCGCACCACTGCCGCCGGCGCGACAGCCGCTTGACGGTGACCACCCCCCCCAAACCCCCAGCTAACCCCCTTCCTCAGGCCCCCTCCCCGCTCCCGGCTCTGTCAATATGGCGGCAGCGGCGGCGTTACCTGTGCGGCGCCTGGAACCCCCCACGGCGGCAGCACGGCGGCGTCACCCGAACGTCAATGGAGATTCCCCAGACTGGGGTGAGGGGGGTGGGAAAGAGGGGCGGGGTGAATGCGGGGGACCGCGTGGTGGGGGTGGGAAAGAGGGGAGGGGGGCGTGCTAGGCGGGGGAGGCGGGTGAAGAGTAGTAAAAGCCACTGCTAGCGTCTCGGTAAACCTGCCCACTTCACGGAGCATGCGCGGCGCTCTTTACACATGCTCAGCAGGCCCTCTTAGAACTACAGAGCAGCCTTGCTGGCGGGAGGATTCCCAAAAAGAATGTGGGTACTGGGGGACCCTCCGGAGCGCTTGATTGGCCAGTGCTAGAGGAGGATTCCGGGAGTACCTACTTGCGGGGTTCACGAAAAACAGGTGTCCTATATGCAGAACCACGCCCATTTCAGTACTTAGTGACAAATACTAGGGCGGGGATTTTACTCCAGTAGACGCTAGCCTTCCAGAAGCTAGAGGCAGGAGAGAATGGATTTAAAAGAAATTAGAATACCTGTGATCCTTACCCACAGCTCCTTGTCCCTCTTCAAGATCCTCCGGATACATGCCTTCACGTTACTGATAACAGAATGTTTCCAATATGTGTGTGTGTGTGTGTGTGTCGCGCGCGCGCGCGCGCGCGACACACACACACTATTTATTGAACTCTCCTTGTGGCGATGAAGACAGGGTGTATGATGCTAACCCTCCCTCGACCCGCTCTGAGAATACTGGATCTTTAGGGACAGTAATTGTAATTCTTCTATCTTCTCCAAAAGAAGCTTTACTGCTTTGCTCCTGTGAGCCTCACACTGTAGTCCTCAGTAGTGATATTACGGAGATAAATAAAGTATGGTCTTCTACATAGGTAATGGATGATCAAAACCACTCATCAAAACATTTTAGACTTCAAAACAAACAAACAAAAAAAAAACAGTTATTCCAAACCTTTGACACTTAAAGAGACTTAAAAGAGCAACTGCAACAGCTCCTAAGCTAGCTCAGTACCTTGGAGAGGTTTCTAATATTCTGCATAAAACTCACACCACTCCTTCCCCCTTCTACACTTACAGTTGTGTTGTGCTTGCAGAGAACACTGAACTATGCCCTCCATTTATTTCACCATCTGGCCTCAAGAGCTAAGAAAGCAAAACAAGCTACAGAGGTTGGCAGTTAATTACGAACAAGAATCACCAACAGTGCTCTCCCATTTATTCTGCTGAAAATCCAGAGAAAAAGGCGAGCTTTAGAGATAGGTTCTGTAAAAGTGAAAGATTTTAAAGTAATGGGAATATGAAAATGGGAATTTGAAAATGGGTTTGTGAGTGCATACAGGCAAATAAATTTGTTTGGCAGAAGTGACAGTGTTTTAACTAAGGCTAATCCTTTTGAGCTGAGTCTATTCCCCTATTGCTTACTCAAAGGGTTAGTTCTGGAACCACCACCACCACACACACACACACACACAAACACACACATCATCTTCCACATCATCTATTTTCTTCTTTCTATTGAATCATTCCCACCAGCAGAAAGCATGCTGTTTTGACTTTACCTTGGTATCTAATACAGTTCAAGACTACCTTTTCTTTAAATATTTTCTTCACCTGGCCTCCAAAACAAACAGTTCTTGTTTTGTTTCTACATCATCGGAGATTTCTTCTCAGTCTTCTTTGCTGGGCCATCCCTCATCTTTCCAATCTCTTACTGTTGTAATTTCAGACTCAACCTCTGTCTTCCCCAGAATTCCAGGTATCCCCACATCCCATATAGACCCATGGATTACTCATTCTTAAAGTCATGACTCCTGCCTGCAATTGTCTATTCAACATCTGTACTTGTATATCTCAAATTTAACCTATTCAAACCTGACTCTTGATTTGACCCCAATAAGTTCCTCCCCTAGTTTTAACCAAGCCAATTAATGATCTGCCCCCATTAACCTAGTTTACTGATTATTTCTCACTTCAGAGTATCCTTCCATAATCATCCTATCTAAAACACCACCCCCATAAATCTTTCCCCCTCACTCTGATTTTTCATCTCAAAATTATTTTCCTCAGAGCATATCTGGAACATAATGGGACTTGGTAAGTGTTTTCTGAATAAATTTGTTTTATTGCTATTTTCATGTACTTTTGATAAATACACTATATCACATATATTACGAAACTTCCCCAGAATTAATATATTCACCTTTGCTTCATACATAAAATTGAATCTAGGGACTGGGGGTACAGTTCAGTGGTCAAGTGTGTGCATGCTTTGCATGTACAAAGCTTTGGGTTCAATATCCAGCAGCAAATAAACAAACTTTCATATGTGTTCATTCATCATTCTCTTTAGATTGAAGGGAGAACAGTAAGGTAGAAGAAGGTGGTCAGGGGAAGGAATGAAGGAAGGGCAAGAGAAGGTACTGGGATAAGGAATTGATCTAACTATTTTATGTGAATGTACAAGTGTTCCACAATGAAACCCACTATTACGTATAATTATTATACACCTATAAAATTTTTTGAAAAAAGAAAAATTCGGGCTGGGGATGTGGCTCAAGCGGTAGTGCGCTCAGCTGGCATGCGTGCGGGCGGGTTCGATCCTCAGCACCACATACAAACAAAGATGTCGTGTCCAACAAAAACTAAAAAAAATAAATAAACATTAAAAAATTCTCTCTCTCTCTGTCTCTCACTCTCTCTTTAAAAAAAAAAAAGAAAAATGCAAACTCTTACTAAATCCTCCTAACTACCCAAAGGCAAATAATATGTATTATTCAATGCTTTCCATACAAACTGTGAATATTAAATGATTATTTTCAAATGTTTAATTGCTATTTTTTTTATTTTCATCAAAATATCTATATCTATTTTGATATAGATTCAGATACTTCTACAAAAAGAGATATATTCCATGGAAAGTTTAAATCCATAGGCCTATGCCTTTGTAATCCTTAAATAATTAAAACCAGTGAGTGTTTATGACAATTATTATATCCTAGTAAATAGAGAAACACATCTAAATCACAGGATAATGAGAGTTTAAAGGTCCCCTGACCATACACCCTTTAAAAATGGTAATTGGATCTGAGAAGCTTACTAATTTCACCACCATACTATGTACAAAACACTGCCTAGGTGATCTGGAGATTGCCAAAATCAAGGCTGCCCTTGGTATTGGGTTACACAAAAAATACACACAAAAAATGCATTCAGATATTTATGGGGAATTAAGTGTTAGCAAATTACTATAGTCAGCCAGGCAAGGTGTCGCACACCTTTAATCTCAGAAACTCAGGAGCCTGAGGGAAGAGGATGATGAGTTCAAGAGCAACCTCACCAACTTAGCAAGATCCTAAGCAACTTAGTATCTGTCTCCAAACAAAAAATAAAAGGGATTGTGGATGAAGCTCAGTGGTAAAGAGCCTCTGAGTTCAATCCCAGTATAAAAAACATATAAAACAAACAAATAAATAAAGTAATTATTCAAATGATTTTTTAAAAATTACAATAGTAATAGTCACTCAATTCATATCTCATATTCCCTGAAAAGTCATTCCTGACAAACTGAAATACTCTCTCCCTGTGGTAGTAGAAACAACATAAGATAGGCAACTTGATTCCTTGTTTTAGGTTATGGCTCAACCACCACCTAGATATTGGAAAAAATATTATTGATCTTCAGGATACTCATTTGTAAAATAGGGAGAAGGTTAGGAGTAAATGAACTTATTAAAGTTCCCTTCCAGACTTACTGTCCTAGCACCAATTGTCCATACTAATTCATTCCAACTTTTAAGTTTCAATTAGTGTGATCAACTTTATGCCCCACAAGTTGCAGATCTATCATCATTGTTTGTGACAATTCTCCAGGACCCTTACCCTAGCCTTAATTCCTGTTTCTTTTCCAGTGACTCTTTTCCTTTATAAGTCATCTCTAACCCTTTGATGACTGAGCTTAGTTTCCCTGATTTTGATAGTACTCTCTAAAGAACTTGGTTTTTACAAACATTCTGGCTTTTGTTAATTCCTGGACATGACAGGAAAATACTCCCACCTCATCTACCTCTGGCCCTAGGGATCTAAGACTGAGTACCTGCCTATCTGCAGGGCAGCCAAAAGAAACACCATGACCCAAGTACTAGCAAATTTTCAAGTACTGATTTTAGATATTTTTACTGTTACTATTTTAGTTGTTATTTTAAATATTTTATTATTTAACCTCTTGTATGTTTTATAAATCCACAGTCTCCAAAATTATTGAAGTCATATGTATTTTGGAATTCAGAATTTGGTGCTTTCAAAAGATAATATAGCACATATACTTTGTAAAACAGAACACAATAATCAAAAGTAATACCTTGAATGACACATGAATGAATATTGTTTTCAGGTGGAATAAATGAGGACTATAACTAGCTTTAAAACCTCCTCTTTTTAAAATATTTATTTTTTTGTTATAGATGGACACAATATATTTTATTTTTATGTGGTGCTGAGAATCAAACCCAGTGCCTCACACATGCTAAGTGAGCACTCTACCTCAGAACCACAACCCCAGCCCTAAAAATCTCTTCATTAGTACATAACAATGCATACATCTCTCCCTTATTAAAAATGATAAAATATCCTTCCTCAAATCTATAGTATACCAGACTTCTGTTTATGACAACTTTCAATGAGTTATCAAGTCTTTTTAACTTCATCTCAAATATTTTTAAATGCCTGCTCCATACCCATTGCCATTTCCTCAAATCACCTCTTGTGATACTTACCTGAGCTAATGACAGACACATTCTCTTAACTGGTCTTTCTAATTCTCAATTTATACTCTCTTGCATATAAATCCATTCTCCCCACTGTCAACCCAGTGACCAAAATGCTCCATATCTCCATTATCTCTGAAACTCCTTAGCTCTAAATACAAATGTTTCACCATCTGCTTCTAACTATCTTTGCAGCTTCATCTTCACTATCTATCACCATGTACTTCAGTAAAATCTATATACATATTATTGCCTCTTCTCTTTCCCAGGCATACTTATAAAATTTACTCTTTTTTTTTAAAAGAGGGAGGGGAGAGACAGAGACAGAGACAGA